ATTTTTACTGTTACTTGGAGCTACTCATTATTTTCTCAAGTGATATATCACATTCAGAAGTCCTTCAGTAAACATATGAGGTGTTGGTAAAGGGTAGCAGACAGAATTACAGAAGAAGCAGAAAGTCGAAAACCAGAAATAATAATTAGGATTTCCTTCAAATAAACATTGATATGCAAATCAGAGGGTTAGTTTGGGCGTCATTCCTAACACCTAACCTTACTCGTCAGTGAAGATTGCTTTTCTTCAGGTTGTACTTTCTTTAAAAAGACGCAAATTCTTGTGCAAAATCACATCCCCCGTTATAGTTCAAATTCACATGAACCTCAGATTGTTGCGAAATTGTTTTTGGACGCTGTTCCAATTTCACGACTGCCCCAGACATTCTATGTGCTGTCAATTCCTCCAATCTGCCTTATAGGTTGCTGTGCAGATGATGAATGGATCTGACCTTCTGTTGTTTCTGTTTTGCTGAACCCTATTGATCTCATACAGACACACTCAGCCACACACACGCATGTGTAGACACAGAAAATGCCGATACTCTTATATAGATTCATACAAATGAACCCATCTGAATGCACATCTTGCCCTTTGTTGTATCAAACTGCATTCAGATAACGAGAAGCACCTTTCTGTGTGAGGGGGTGTGCAACTCAAAAATCAATACAGTCCCACGGGAAAACAAGCTTTTTTCAAAACCGCATTTGCTAGATAAAGCCCAGGATGCACGCGTGCACACAGTAACTGTGGTAATCACACACACACAAACTGCCTTGACACAGCCCTGTGATGAAAAATGCCCCTGCAAATTTTTTTCCACCTGAATTTGCAGAAAATCGTATTGCCTCTGTTTGTCAAGTGTAGCAAATGGAAGGCACAATGGATAGACACACATTTATTCATCATTACTGAGTTGTGCTGAGAGAGAACTTGGCTTTTGGGTTCCTTCACAGACTGATCTCCAATTTCCAAAATACTGTTTTACACTTCAGTGTCATGCTGTATCAGCACTAAGAGACAAATCTGGAATGAGCCATTTGTCAAGGCCAAATAGAGACAAGAAAGTGTGACTTAAATTAAGTCTGGCCTTTAAACCGTTTCAGCTAAGGAAAACCTGAGTGTTAACGGCCTTTAAACCGTTTCAGCTAAGGAAAACTTGAGTGTTAACCTTTCCTGTCTTCAAACACAGTCTCAGAGCAGCAAACAGCTGAGGAAGGGAGGAATAAAACGACAAAGTGAAACAGAAAGTCTGGGAGTATTTAGAGATTGAGAGTAAATTCCAAACAAGACGTTCTTGGATTGAGCCTTTTACTGTAAGTGCCATCTGACGTCTGGACACTGAATACAGAGTTTCACATTTCACCAGTGGCAGACTGTTAGGAAACAGCACATTAATGCTCAGATGCGGAAGCAAAATATTAGATGAATGAATATTAGATGATCAGACTTTTTATGGTCACATTACTGTAGCTAAGACACATTAGCTACACAGACATCCTACCACCAATAAACAGGGTTAATTCTATCGTGTAGGCTGTGCATAAGAAATGCTTTAGAGAAATGTTGTAGCAGACATGGCAGTTGATCTGTGACCAAAAAAGGTGGTGTACCGTGTTTACAGTGTTTCTCTGCAAACACTGTCTTTATCAGATGCCAGGCACATGCAGTGTAGAAAGCCAGAGAAGAAAAACATGTGGCTGCCATGATAGTTAATCGAGCTTGTGGCCCCTTAAGTGTTTTCACCACTCCTGTCTGTTGAAATTGAATTTTCTGGAGACAGCAGCTCTGGGATTTAAGACTCCATGCATTCAATAATTTTACACCAGAACAGTTTGGGGGGGCAGCGGACAATCCCGTCAGCTATCACAGTTCTAATAAATGGCCAGATGAAGCTGGGTGGAGCGGAAGAAAATAATGTTCAGTGGACGCTGGCTCTCATTAATGGGCTTTTTTTCATGACTAGTGATGAGACACCTGCACTTTCATTTGGCTTTTATTCTTTGGAAATGATGGGAAAATATAGCTGGAGCAGGGATCTGATTTGGGCCAAAATGATGTTTTGTATTATTTCTTTCACATCAAAGTGGCACAGATTAGAGTTACCCACTGGACTGATCACATGGCTGTACAGCCAGAAACACTGGAATTGTGTGGGTCCCAACAAGAGTAGCAACTTAAGGGGATCCATTAAAATCAGCAATAAACAATGTATTTTTACCCCTTTGTATGTTCTTAGATCTAGAACAATGCATTGTTTATACACAAGGGTTCTACAGTTGCTAGAACTTCTAATGTCACTTGTTCCTTTTAATACTAAAAATTAATCAAACAAACAAGGATCATGACAAGATATGACATTCTGTAAGAGTACAAAATTATGACATATGTACTGATAAAAGGAAATGGCTGCTTCAGCCCTGACGTTTAGATGCTGATGCATGACTAGTTGTTATTTTAACAACACGTTTGGTAACCAGATTGTATGAGGGCTGAGAGGAAGCAGGTTTCCGTTACAGTATATATCAGTCACTCATCAAATCAAATATCATTTATACAGCACATTTACAACAACAATATGTCAAAGTGTATCTAATAAAAACATATAAATTAAAACATCACAACCACAGGAAAAAGAAAAGTCTCGATGTCATTCTATTCGATGTCATTGATAAAATAAAGTAGCTCAAAGTGCTTCACATAAAAACATAATATGCAACCAAAAATTAAATCAAGATATTTAAGTGATTTACGCTTGTTTGTCAAAAATACTGAAAGGTGTATAACCAGCTGAAACGACACCAATGAATTAATAAAAACAGAAACCAATCACAAATGTGTCAGTGTAGAGAAGGTCTGTCCAAAGGCAGGAAAGATCGATCTTTTTCTCCAAGTAAACAGATTTTTTATTAACATTAAGACAATGAAATGGTCAGATATCGCAGAGGCAGAGGATGCTCCTTCATAGCACATGGTTTAACGTCCCTACCATGGTTGGGGCTCAATAGGAGTCAACATGAGACAAACCAAGAGTTTATTTCCTTATTTCCTCAAAGAAACTGTATTATGTTGTACTGTGTTGGAGTTGGATTCCTTGCCCTCCTTGTTGTACCCCAAATGTGTCACAGGCCTCTTATCGGTTGTACAGTCAGAATTCCTGACTCTTTGTTAGCTGATATTGCAAATGTTCACAGCTAATGGCAAGATGAGCAAAATGTTTTTCTGGTTTGTCAAGGTTTCTCTGTAGATTTCAAATGTACACCGTCAGTGGTCACTTTAGCTTAAAGCTTAGATACAAAACGTTACATGTGTATCTAGTGAAAACAACCTGCCCCCTCTTTACTCTGTAGTGGCTGTAACTGTTGAGCAATTCAGTTTGCAGAGGCTCACAGTTATTAGCGTCACGTGTCAGATAGTAGTTCAGTATCGGCTGTTCAGGGGGACGCTTCAGTCATAAAAACTGAGGCAGCAGTGAGACACTGTTTGTTTACTGATGAGCACAGGAGGATCATTGAAAGCCTTTAATTAAATCCCCAAACTACCCCTGCATGAATGATCAGTCGAAAGAAATGGGTTCTGGTATTTAATTGCAAAGCCATCAATCTTCCTTGGATAGCATCTTCACCTGCAGCCAGTTACTAGATAGACTGTTAGCTGCTTTGTAGCTGAGGGAATTAAAAAGAATTTTAAATGCAATAACAGATTTGTGAGTATGGGCACTGGTGATGAACATATTGTGTGCTGGTGTATACAGTATATTGAATTTGTCAGCAGTATTTTTACACGGCTAAGTAAATGGAAGTCACTGAAGGGAATTGTCCATGATTGGAGTTGTACTGTGGTATGAAGCTTGTAATGTGACACAGTCCTGGATAGAAAGCGAGAGAACACAGATGGATGGGCAATGTGGACAGGATGCACAGTAAGAAAGACAGCAGGTGTTTTTATTTTGTTCTTTCATTTGCAATATAAGGTGGTTTTGCCACATTTCTGCATGTGTATATTGATGCATTAAGTGATAGCAAATGTCTTCAAACTAAAATGAAATGTGTCATTTTTAAATAGCCTGTCATTTCCTGGTGTCTATACCTGGCACTTCCTCCAAGAATTTAGAGCTTGGTGCTGGTTCTCCCCGCAAATGCAGTGGGGATTGTACAGGGCGAGTGTTTGTGTGGATGCGTGCTGGTGTAAGTGAGTGCACCAGCAGTGAAGACAGATTCTGCTGGGGCGTCGGCTACCTTCGCGATCAGTGAGACTAATGTGGTCATTCCACCACACTCCTTAAATCCAATGTTACAATACCTTAAAACCAATGTAATTACCTCTTGCTTTACAGCAGGCCCTTGTGTCACAGTTCAGTAACTGACATTTACTTTATGCTGCGTCCCCTCATTGCTGCTAAATGTTCAGTCTTTAATTTCATGGTTTTCTTTAATTTGAGGGCCACAAAGTAGAAACATCGTAATTAGGTTTTGGTAAAGCCACTTTATTTTCATCCATGCTATGTCAGGTGACGTTGCCACTTCAAAATATGGTAATATGAAAACTATGATCTGTTATACCTTCTGTTTCTTTCACCTTTTTCTTTGCCCATAACCTTAAACCAAGTTTCACCCTAAAATTCAATGATGCCGGTCTCCATGAGAACGACAACACGAGTAACACCAGGTGCATACAAACGCTCTCCAGTGAGAATCAGTGTGCTGGCAGACCTGCTCTTAGGCCCGATTCTCTGACTCCATCTTCGTCCTGATCCATGTCTCACTCCCAGGAAGTAGCAACGAGGGAGATGCTCTTTCCTCGTCCTGCTTTCGTCTCCTCAGACGTATCACCCTTCACTCTGCTTGATCCCATTTTTCTGACCTTCTCTCTCCAGGCTGACAGACTTCTCCATTTAAGAACTGCTTGATGTACAGTGTGTGTTGACTTTTCCCCTCCATAGAAAAACAGGCCAAATGAGACATGCATTCTTTATAATTCATTATTTTTCTTCTTTTCAGGGCAGATGGAAATTGCACCACCTACTGCAGCACAGTTAAGATATGGTAAGAAGTCAAATTTTTATGATGCTTTGTGTGTAATGTATTATTTAGGTTAATATAGAGAAAGGTTTGGATGCGTACCCTGGAAAATGCTCATTTATCTTGCAGCATGACAGCCTGCATTACATCCCTCATTTAGCCTTTAGTCAACTCAGAAAACTAATGAAGGCTCCGATTCATGATTATAATTAATGAGCATGTTATTGTGGTTTATCATTAATACTGTGTTTCCATGCTGTTCCCAAAGGAAAGGACCAAACCTACTGTAAATGGAAAGAGCTAATAAGCTTATATGTTTTCCATGGACAGATATTGACTGGGCCTGATGTCTCAAACAAATCAGCAGCATCAGTAAATGAAACCTGTCTAATCTGAATCAAAGGTACAAGACAAAATGTGCTGATAATAGGTGTGAAAGATGCTCAGCTGCGACATTCACATACTTTCTGACACAGTGTTAGTATTATGTTGGCATATGCTTTATGGTTCATCACTGTCTGCTGCTGTTCAAGAAACCAGAACAAACTAGATCTTTGTACTCCACTTTCTGTGCAGTCGGTATTCAGGGATCAGTGGAGTTATTATTGATTGTTTATGGTTTAGAAGTTCCCTGTTGGCTTCCACTGGTGTGATTTGTAGTTGTCCTGGGATCCATAAATACTCAGAAATGAAATGAGAGAAACTACTGAACATTAACTGATATGAAAGAAACTATAAACACAAGGAATCAATTGCAGCAACATAAAATAAAAAAAAGTTTAAAACAAGACAGAATTTGCACAGAACCCAGAGACAGATTTACAAAAGACCCAAAAGGTGTTAAAGTTGTCTCTTTACATTGGCATATTTTAAGTTATTTATATGGGAAACGTAGCTGGTGACAGTTGAGTCTAAATTGGCTCTTTATGATTGAAGTGAGAAGTTTATATACACCTAAGCCAAATACGTTTATAGTCCTATCAGGTCATACTATATGCACACTAATGCATTCCACCTGCATGTACACAGCAGAATGCTTACGCAGGCATTCTTCACTGCTTAGTGCTAAGTTACTGAGCTCAGGTTTCTCTCATGCTGCTGAGAGGTTGGAAAGCCTGATGGTTAACTAAGCATAGTTCATTCACCTTGTGTTTGTCTTTCTGTTTCTCTCACACTAGAGAGATCTTTGTCACTATAAGGGCAAATGCATCATATGAAAAATATCTCCTTTTATCCAGCTCAGTGATTCTCCTGTTGTGCTGAAATGCTGAGTCAGACTTTAAAGGAAACATGGACTCAGTGGCCATTACCGGAGCAATGCTGTTATACACAGCAGGGAACACGGTTTTCCTCAGCTCAGCAAAGCCTTTGTTTTGGGCGTACCGTTGCCTCGTGTCTCTCTTACGGGAGTTGGTGACTTCTGCCGACTGAGTGATGAAATCAGTAAACTTCTTCTGTGGTAAACTGAGCGGATGGGAATGCACCACGGGGTGAAGGTTATCAAAAATATTTGGCTCTCAGCCCTGGTTTTGTCTGTATTACAGAAATCGTTCTCATAGACCATTTTCTAAAAATTCACACACAGTTATAGTCATTACCTTTGAGTGCAAGCCGTGACTCAGTGCTGAAAGCCTGGCCTGATGGTGGCACTAAGGAAAAGCATATCATTGGACTAAAGCTAGTATGTCCTGTGATGTGTTATATCTACCCAAAAGTAGTTTTTTAATTTTACCTTCCCATCATTTTACTCACCAAGCACAACAAAGAGTGAAGCAACCTAAAAAAAGAATTAACAGCAGCAGGGGAGCTCACAGTTAACCACAGCTCTTTGGTTTTCAAAGACATTTAATGGGAAAGTATAATCCAAGGACCCTGCTGTTTCCTTGTTAATGATGCTTTATGGGAAGTTTAGAATGAACCTTTTAGTTCACTGTCAGCTGAAAATCTTGCCATTCTTGCATCTTTGCTGCTCGCAATTATTTGATTACTGTGTTGCAGTTCTGTTCTGCGAGGCTCATTTATGTCTCCATGGGTTGTTATTTATTGACTCAAACATGCTTGTTTGTGTTTGTCATTTTACAGTTCTGCTGCACAATGCAATTCCTTTCGTTGGATTTGGATTCCTGGACAACTGCATCATGATTGTTGCTGTAAGTAACAGCTTCATGTAGTGCTGTGGTCCCCTGCAGGGGGTGTAACTTTGGTTTCCACAGAGAGCACCTGTGCATAAAGAATATGTTGTCTCTGCTTTATATTCATTGTGGATGATACTGTAGAAGGTGAGTGTGTGTCTGTGCTTGATGCTGCTGTATTTATCTCTTAGTAGATTTCCTGTGTCTCATCTGTCCGTCTCAGTCCTTCCTGTTTTTCTCTAACAGTCTATAAACCTTTTATACCTGTTCTTTATCGAGTCTGTGTGAAGTTGATCAAAGACCAAAATAATGAAATCCAAACCAGTAACTGAGTAACTCTGCTCAGAGAATGAATGGTAATATATTTTTCTGTCTTAATTCAAAGGTTGCTTGAATTGCAGGGTTATGTTTTTAAGATATCAGTGGTGAATTCTTATTGGGGCCTCTACAGGGAGGAAGAAGGACAGATGGAAAAATATATACAAGAGAAACAAATTGAAGTAGAACATAATGGAATAGCTTTGCCCAAAACCGATGCACCGTAGCAGAGTATTGCAGAATATGCAGATATTCTACCAAATATTTAGACCATACTGCTGTTTTGCTTAGTGAAGTTACATCAGAAATCAATAAGTAATCACCCTTTTTGTATCGATTCATCTGGTCTGAAATGTTTGTGCATTTATTAAAATTGTGTATTCTACAGTATGTCTCTGTAGAGGTCTGACTGTACTTGCATCTTTCAGAGAGTTCTTTTTATTCATTGTGGATATTATGATGCTCAAAACTGCAAAGTTAGCCTCATTTAAAAAAGCACTTTATGTATTTCTCTCTGAATATCATTAAGAAAGAATATGATGCACAGATGGTTTGCATTATAGACAGAGGAAGAAACTGAGAGCACTGAGCTCTCCTCTATTAATAACTACCTTCTGCAATCTACATGTTTGTACTGTGTGTTATTTCCCAGGGCACACACATCGAGTTATCCATCGGCGTGATCCTCGGCATTTCAACTATGGCAGGTAAGAGAATTGCACAGTTAGGGTGTAACTTGTTCGGTGTCCTTTATAGTCATAAATGGTTTTCATTATATAAATTTTGTGTAGATTTTTAAAAGCATCAACATTTGATTGAGGATTGATGCACACAGGTACAGCAGTGATCCCTGCAGTGACAAACAGAAACATCAGTGCTGAATTCAGTTTGGTTCAGGCTCCAGCCAAGTTTCCATCCATTATCTATACCGCTTATCCCTAATAGGGTTATGGGGGGGGGGGGCACAT